TATATATATATATTATACAAAGAAACGAAAAAAGGTAAAATCAAAAAAATTTTCCTTTTTTCGAAAAGAGCGAAATTCGAATTTTTATTTTTTAATTGACATAGTTACTATTCTATTCATTATAAATAGGAGATATGGGATATGAGTGGCATCTTAAGACTATTATTTATTTATTGGTTAAAATTAAGAAATAAAATAAAAGAACAAAAAAAACCAACAGATAACCTATAACTCTTCTTTTTCAGCTGATTCATCATTTTGTTTTTGAATTTGCTGATTTATTTTTCTTATTAATTGTTGTAAATCTACGAATGCTTCTGGTGTTAAACCTAATACAATAAAAAAGCAAAAATAATCAATAAATCAATGAATATTATTTAATGATGTACTTTTAATTAATGGTCGAATATCATTCATATGTATTTCAGATAATGTTCGTTTACCAATTAAATCTAAAACGTTATTAACTTCTTGTAATACTTTACTATATGCAGGATATTGTGTTTCCCAATCTTCAGGTACAAGATCATTACGATTATCATATAATGCAAGAATAAATTGTTGAATAGATAAACGAAGAACATCATCAAGCGTGAAAACATCATTTTCTAATATAATATCAACAGATAATGTTGGATTGACTTCATTTAAACTAATAGGTGTTTTAATTGCTTTAATTAATGCATTGATAAATAGATCAGAAACAGAAGTTGATAATTCTGATTCAGAAATAGATGTAGAAAATCCACTAATCATCAGTACTAATACGATTATCGTTGAGGATATCATTTCGTATGTAATGTGAATAATAGCCTGTTGCTTCCATTAAGAATATTGTAAACCAGGTGTTATTTTTCTCAGCATTTTTTACTAATATCATATCTCATCTATTTATTTAATCGTTAGCAAATATTCTATTCTTATCAAAAAATAAAGAGTTTGTTTTACTTCAAATTTCTTACAAAATATTTACAAATATTCTTGTATTCTAGATAGATACAAGAACTTATGTCTTATGCATATGATAATGATGAATTTTCACGTTATTATGATACATTTGTAGCTGAACATGTATCACAAGATATTTATTGGACAGATACAGTTAAACAAGTTTATGCAGAAATAATTCAACGAACATTTATTGATAATCAACAAACAATTATCGTTGAATTAGGTTGTGGTACTGGTGAAAATTTAATTTATTTTAGTCAATATTTTCAAAATAAAAATCTTAAATTTATTGGTATTGATCATTCACAATCTATGTTAAATCGTGCAAAAGAAAAATTAATTAATCAATCAAATATTAATCAAATTGAATATTTACATGGTAGTTTAACAAATTTTGCTGATTGTTTAAAAACACAAAAAATCGATTGTATTCTTTTACCAGCTGGTACATTTCATCATCTAATTACTGATAATGAACGTCAAGAATTTATAAATAATATTCAACAAACACTTCGATTTCAAACAGGACTTTTTGCTATTTATTTATTTCCTGATTCATTAATACGTATTGAATCAATAGATAATTTAAATAATGAAAATAAATTAAAACTTATATCTATTGAAAATCTTCAACAAAATAATAATGAATGGTTATGTAAACAAACATTTGAATTTAATATTCCACCAAAAATTCAATTATCATGGCAATTACGTACTTGTTCAATATTAAAACTTATTAATTTATTTATTTCGAATAATTTTGAAATTCTATTTTGTTGTTTAAATGGAAAAGATCTTCTACCATATAATGAAAATATTTCATATTCATTAATGAATATGACTACACCTGTAATTCTTGTTTTTCGTACAATTAAAAATACAAACTAAACTTATTTTGACGTTTAAAGTAGTAAACAGAAAAAAAAGAACAACGAAAAGAAGAGAATTGAACATTTTTTTTTTATACAAAGAAAAAAAAAAGCAAAATCTTTCTTTCATCGTGCATTAAATGATGATGCCGGTAAATGTTTCTCTAATTTTATCACAGTATTAGAAATATGAGAATATGTGTAATCAACAATACAAGCTCATATATCCGTACACAATTGAAACGTATTAAATTTGTAACAAAAGTGTAAATATAGTAGATGAATAATCATCATACAGCATCTTGTTCGTTTTTATCTTCGTATACGGGTGGTACGCGTGGTGCAACCATTTGCGTTAGAAATGGTTGCATATGTGTGTCAACACTTGATTGTCGGCGGACATAGAATGGTGTCGGTAGTGCCACTGTGTTCTTATTGCCTATAAAACAAAAACAACAACAAACAGTGCGGCAAACAGATTATTGGTTTTCTCAACGAGTACTTTTTGTGGACAAAGAAATTATGTTAATTTATGTTTTAATCTATTGTTGATATCTGTTCTTGTTAAAGCAAAGAAAAGGTCGATGTGTCTATTTTTCTTTAATAGCAAATTCTCTGGTATAATCCAAGTTATTAGAAAATATCTCATAATAAAATCATATAATTATTATTTGTTCGAAAGCAATAACAGAATCGATTAGTCAACATCACTTATAGTTTTAATCAATAAAAATCGATTCAAAATCAATTACTTAAATTGATAGGATTCTTTTTTTTTTCTTCAATAAAAACAAAACAAAAACGGAGAGAAAGATGCGTTCTCATTGGTTTTTTTTTCTATCACAAATATTTTATAAATCAATCTATATTCATTAATAATATATTCGAAATAGAATTAAATGATTCTGAATTAAGAAAATCATATTAACGAAATGAAGGTGGTTGTATGCAAATCGATTCTAATAATTTTCTTTTTGTTTTACTCTAGACAATACTCGAATTAGAATTATCAATATTTACTACATTAGCTTAAATATCAAAGTAGACAAAAGAAAAAACAACAACTCAAGTTTCTTGCTTATTCATCTATTAACATCATGTTTAGCCTTTTGTGTCAATTTTAATGAACAAAAAAAATAATAAAACAAAAAGAATGTCATCCAAGGTCGAAATAATGCAAAAAATACTTAAAATTCCATGCATAATATTATTATGGAATGGAAATTTAAAAGAGAAGAAAAAAAAAAAAGAGAAAAGATTTTCTCTTTGTTTTAATCATAAAGATAAGTAATGCTGAAGATAAAAGCTTCTATCTAGACAATGATTGTATTCTTTATCGTATAAAATAATTACTTAATAGACATATATTTTTCTTGTTTGATTTTCTTATGGAATTAATTTAAGAGAATTATTTGTTAATTAAGCATAGAAAAAATTGTTTTCCAGAAATATATGCATTTTGACACATTGACACTTTTATCTTTCTAATCAATGAATGGAACGAAAGAAATGTATTTATGTATATTGATATATATTAACGTTAATGGAAAAATGTCCTTGTGAAAGCAGTTATATATCATTAAGTAGAGATTTTTTTTTTATAGGTGTGAATGTTGGTTTCCATCAATATTTGTTTTCTCATATTTTTTTTTCTCTTCTCGATCAACCATTAGTAATACTAATATGGATATGCTTATTGATTTCGTTAAAATTTTCAGGATGATTTACTTGCAATTCCGATTCTCTCGAACTCTAACTTTACAATGATGATCGACCGTAATGATCGATGGCCTCTTATGAATGTAACAGTCTGATCAAAATTGAAGGAACTAGACAAAAAATTCTCTTGATGAGTTAATATTTTTTTATTTTCTTTTTTCTCTCTCTCTCTCTCCCTCTTTTCCCCTCTTCATTTCTTCTATTATAAGTGGGCTCTCTTGTTGATTACTCTATTTTTTTCAGTTATCTATACAGCTAGTTTCTTGTATAAAAAACGAGTAGAGAGAAGAAAAAAAAAACCGAGATTCGACCAACACAAGACTATGTCTGTACGTCTAAACTATCGTCACTGGCATCAATATATCGTAACTAAGTAGCGAAGTACAGCAAAAAGCAAAAAGAAAAAGGTTGCCTCAACAAGCGCCTCTAATAAAGTGGTACTCGTTTCAACGTCTTCTATATGTATATAATATCTATTATACATGGTTTACGCTTAGTTCTTATTTTCTTACGACAGAAGGAAGAGATAAAAAAAAAAGATAAAACCAATAGCGATCTGGTTTTTTTTTCGTAATCCGATTGTAAATTTGCCTTTTCACTCGAATAGTCTAATAATGCGTTCATTCTTTTACTATTAGTTACTTCTTGAGTATACAATTTTTTTTTTCTTTTGCTCGTTCATGTCTATATGTAATTCTACTATTTGTGAACACGACTGATTCTTCGTTTTCCTTTTCTTTTCTTGTCATTGTAAAAGAAATATAAAAAAAAAAAGAGGCGATCGATCGTAAGAAAATAGATTTATTTTCACAACTATTTGTCGCGTTTTTACATGCACGCAAAAGAAAACTGAAAATAATTTTTTTTTTTTGTTTTACTCTACTCATATATATGAATTTTTTAAAATATACCTGATAATTGAATAAAAAGAATACCCCATCGTATTGACCAAATCCAACCAACAAGTAAAAAAATTGTTGCACTTTGTAATATAGCCGCAAGAATATTATAAAAAAATGCTACAATATTTTTTTCATGATCATGTTTTCCACAACAAAATACAGCAAATGCACTGATTAATGTGCCTAAAATAATATTCAAATAAAATTATTTAATAATGAACATATTTATTTTTCATCATCACTTTGTTTAGCATAACATATTTATTCATATTTTCTTTTCTTGCTGGTTGATTTGCTAATTCAGTTTTAATATTTGGTTTCTTTGTCCGTACTGACGATGTAATATGATGATGCTAACATACGCTCTATAGGGAATGCATATATATGTCCATCACTTTTTTTTTTCTTTTTTCATGTATATATATATATTTTTTCTTTTTTAACTATGTTTCCATCTATTATATTTGATAATGCTAACAAGATTTTATATATAGAGAATATAAGAACGAGAGAGAATTTGTATCAATTTAGAAATAAAAACAAAAAATGTTCTTTTATGATAACGAATGAAATGAAATACAATGAGTTTGATTAGAAAAAAACAAAAAACTAATTCAGAATATTTTGTATTTGACCATTGTCAAGCTGATCTCATTTATCATTGAGATCGTAAAGTACACGTAATCAACACTATCGTTTGCATGTCTGACATAAACTATTCATCTATCCGCAAATATAGTTGAGAGTATGTTATATTACCTTATTTCTTTTCTGTATTTTTTTCCTGTGTATTTCTACCAGGGATCAAGAGAAACGATAATATTGCTACCATGCGTTATTTTTTTGTTATTATTAGTAAGACCATGGCAAAAGATGAATTCAGCATGTGTGAGGAATAGGGTCATAATAATAACAACAACAAACAATCTAATCCAAGGCAATCAGTCTGTATGTCAACTAATTCAATGCAACAATAATGTTGATGAGTTATAATGCTGGAAACTCGTGTATCTGCATATTAGTAAGCAAAAAAAAAAAAAGGGAAAATAAAACGACATATGAAAGAAGAGAGACATTAAAAATTGTGAGATTATAATTGCTAAGCATACTGAATAATGACAGTGTTGTCGGTAATATTAGTGATAAACTTCCTAGAAAATTTTTGCTTTATGATATTACAAAATAGAAGAGAAACGACAACATTGCTTTCTATTGTCAAATCATTCATACATATCAAGTATGAATTGACATACTGAATAGCATGTCATCAAGTATGTTTTTGTTGGGTATTTTTTCTTTGATAACACTGAATCAT